ACATTTTCTAAACACACCAGTCTGTACATTTTTTCCTATAATGATTACTTAAACTGCTTAAAGGTGAACGAGTTCTGTTCAAGTTTCAGAGGCTTCTTATCATCTGGTTATTAAAAATATTAGGGAGATGTCTCTGAATTAAGGTGCAAATGAGATCATATACCAAGGTCAGTAGTCTGCATTTTATGTAACAGTAAATGTGAGGAAGAGACAGAGAAAGAAATAGAAGAATTGGGGGGGGGGAAGAAAGAGAGTGACAGAGACAGATGAAGTAGAAAACATCACCATTCCATGGATCCCATCGGCACACCATGTGGTGAGGTCTCACAGAACATAAGACTCCAATGGATGAACACAGATTTGCGCAAGGTGGGACTGCCTCTCTGGGACAGGACAAGTTTGACTCTGTCTCTTGCTACTTTCAAATAATATAAAATCTTCAGCACCAGTATATCTTTTGAGTCTGCCATGAATTGGGTTGTGGGTTTTCAGAGTTCTGTTCTTGCTCTTTCCAGTTTTGTTGAGGCATTGTTGCACATCTGTGACATCGTCTCTTCAAAATGGCTTCTGGACTCCCAAAAAAGACACCTCGTCTTTTGTTCAGGGAAAACCTGAAGCCTGCTAATGTAAGTATCCTCTGGGGCTGTGTTAAGGCTGGAAACGCCGCTGGTGTCCCTCCTCTCCGTGCCCCTCCTGTTGTCCAGCAGCACTGTGAGGCTGCAGAGCCCTCCCCAGCTCTCTGTGCCGTGCTCCTGTTGCTGGGGGCTGTCCTGGTGCACTTGGGAACAGCGTGTGTTGCTCCAGGGACACTCCAGTGTCTTCCCTGGCTGTGCCAGCGGGGCCAAGTGAAACCAATGTCCAGCTGGAGCCCTGAGCATGTGCTTCTCTCCCTGCCCTTTGTCACAGCAATCCCTTCTGTCAGGCTGGACACTCACCTGTGCTGCTCTGGCCAACGTGCCCTTGGGCACCTGGGCATGTGGGCGGGGGGAAGCTCCAACTCTGCCCAAAGCCTTGAGAGACACGGCTGGTCCCAGCAGCAGAGGTTCCAGAGCAGCTCTTCTCTCTCATCTCCTGCGTGGGGCACAGATCCAGCCCTGCAGACAACACTGGAGTCAGGGCCACAAAGGTCCCTTGGCTGTCTGGAGCTCACTTGACTGAAGATGCCCTGCTGCTGAGGCTCTGTCAAGGGGATCCCTCTGTTTTCTTCTGTGGAGGGGTGTGTGAGCCCAGACAGAGCAAGCAAATGCTAATTAACAGAGGGAACTAGAACCAGGACTCATTCCTGTGCACCTCACTGTCCTAGTGGCTGTGATCACAAAGTATTCACCAGTAGCAAGTGAACAAGAAGAGCCTCTATGAGCCAGGGCACTTCTGAGGCTCTTGCTGGTTTTTTGCCTTTCAGCTGACTCCCTCTGCCTTCCAGAAGGAGATGTCTTTCACCACCAAGCAGAGGCTGGCCATAGCTAAGAAGCTGAGTCTGCCTCAGATTGTCCAGCCTGAAGACAAGCAGGAGACCTCCCATCAGAAGGTAGCCTTTCCCTGCCCTTGCTGTTTGATGTGATATTTGAGGAGGGTACCAAAAGAGCAGCTTGGCTTGAGCCTGCTCGGTGTGGTCCAGGAGATTTTGATCAGCCCAGGGCAGAGTTGGAAGAGCCGCTGTTTGCCCAGTGTGAGCTGGGCAGATGTACTCACACAGAGTCTGTACTTCACTGGGGAGCAGGGCAGAATCTTCCTGCCAGCAGCTGAACCTCTCCCTGCTCTCTCTTGCCTCTCCTTGCAGTTCTCGGCAGCTGACCCAGAGCAGAGCTCGTTTCAGCCTTGCCCACCAGAGGTGGTGTTCCAGAACTACACCCCTGGTGAGGTCTGTGAAGTGCCTCTGGTTCTGAGGAACATGGACAAGGCAAGTGCTGGGACGTGGAGGTTGAGCACTGTGCGGGAAGAGGACAGTGGAGAAGGGTGGTTAAGGATGGCCCCAGGGCATGTCCACCTGTCTCCCCAAGTGGCAAAAGCATCATTCCATGTCTTTGCTGCAGGTTCCTCATGTGCTGAAGGTCACCTTGGAGAGCTCACCTTATTTCCAGCTGGTGGGCCCCAATGATGCCTGCCGCAAGGTGCCACCGGGCCTCTCCACGACTGTCCGCATCCTCTTCACCCCTGAGCAGAACAAGGTGAGTCTGGAGGTCCCAAGAGATTGGTATCTTCAGTGGAAAGTCAACCTGCAAGGCTGGATTCAGGGCAGCCGGCCTGGGTTTGGAGGACTGTGGAGGCTGCTTTCAGTGGAGTTGCACTGGATCCAGAACTGGGAGATAGTTTTTGCCCATGCTGAGGATGGGGATAAACGTCCTGTGCTGAGACAGTTTCTTTTCCTGCAGGATTATTTTCACCAGGTCACCTGCATCACTGAAAGGGAAGAGTTCATTGTGCCAATTCGGGCCATTGGTGCCCGAGCCATCCTGGGCTTCCCTGACCAGCTGGACTTCTCAGAGCAGCCGGTCAAGTGCAGCACTGAGAAGGTTCTGCTGGTTCGCAACGTCGGCAACCGAGCAGCTCATTACCAGCTGAGCACCCAGAGGTGAGGCAGCTCATCTGTCCTTGTGCAAAACACCTTTGGGTGATAACAGAGTCGGGAAAGAGCAACAAAAGGAACCTGAGCATCGGAGCTGCTGCCCTGCAGCCCTGGCTGGAAATGGGCAGGACATGTGGGGGTTGCTGTTACATCTCATGTTTGAAGCACGATGCAACCTCTGAGCTTCCTCTGTCCCAGATTTCCTGGAGGGTGCTGGAACATGTTAGTAGCTGGCTTGCACGCTCCTGAGCACAAGCAGCTTCTGAAATGGTTACTCCCCACTGTCAGCCAAATAGCCCCATTCTCTGGGAGGCCACAGGCACGTGGCTGCCCAGTGGTCCTGTCATGAGATGCCCCATGTGAGCTGTGTTGTGGACAGCCTGTGCTGTTGCTGTCGGTGTCAGAAGACAATCACTCTTTCTCCTGTTGGCTGAACTGGAGAGGCTAATGCATTTTGGACACCGTATCTGCAAGGAAAGCAGTTCAGTTGGCTGGTGGCAAGTTGAGCGGTCTTGCTGGAGGAGCTGAGGTCAGGAATGCAGCACAGACCTGCTGTCTCACCTGGGGCAGCTGAGTGGCTTTGATTATATTTCCCTGGCAAAACAGAGGTCAAAAGGCAAATTGTCTTTTCTGCTGTGGAACAGGAGGGTCTGATAGGAGCTTCCACCAAAGCCTGCCCAGGCTGTTTAAGCAGGCTCCTCAGATGCTGTTCAAACAGGCTGCTGCTTTTGACTGTGCAAGTATGGAGGCAGGAACTTGTGAATCTGTGCACAGTTGTTCTCTGGAATTTCCAGATCTTGTTTTGTCACCACTAAAATAAATACCCAATAATGTCTGGTATCCTTTAGCAATGTGCTTGCCAGCTGTTCTATTGAGTGCTACAGAGCACGTTGGATCCTGCTTGATAGGGATTTAAAGAGCTTCTAAACTTCAGGAATTAAATATTGAAGTAGATGAAATAGAGCCTGCGTGCAGCAACAGAGGGAAAGCTGGAGCTTGTGATCTGCTGACTCTGTACAGATATTTTCAGCAGAGAGATGGAGTAATGGCTGCTTTAACCTAACAGACTGGGTTTATTAGAGTAGTTAACGCTGTTTGACTTCAGCCGTTACACCATCATTAAAAGTAATATTTGCTAAGATTACAAGATATTTGGGTTTCTTCCTGCAACAGGTGTTAGCAAACAGATGATGCAATTCAATTGGCAGTCATTTTTCTGTCTTCCTTGGGGTGGGAGGTGGATTTTAATGAGATCAATTTTCCCAAAATCAAATAATTTTAAAATGGCAGTTAAGGCACCAGTGAACGGAAGAACGTTTGGCTATAGAAGGTAACTATACCATGGGACTTGAAGTGGATTGCAGCCTCCTTGCACACAGCATTTACCAAAAGAGCAGGTGAATGGTGCTTTGAGAGCCTTGGTCACAAAATTGGCAGCTTTGCTCACTTGTCAGCTCTGTTTCTAAATTTTGTCCGGAGTACTTGGTCCTTGGTATAACTTGGTATATATGGTCCATGGCCATAACTTTTGCCCAGCTCTGTCAATAAGGGGAGCTGATGCCTGATGAAAGTAAGCAAGATGCGAATGACCTTGAGCCTCATTGCAGAGAGCTGGATGCAGAGTATGGGGGAGATGAGGTCATTTTATCCCACAGGATCTTGTGAGGGCTGGATCTCCTCACACTAGAGTCAGTAGCTGTTTCTGATGCTGTCTGTTCTGTTTTCTGCTGCCGCGGTTGCTTTGCTCTTTGCTTGCACAAGCGAGCAGAAGTGAACTGGACTGCACTAGAGATAACATCCCCAAACCTCCCCCAAGAGTCCTGGTGTGTCTGTGTTGCAGCCCTTTCTCTGTCGTTCCGGCCATGGGAGCTCTGGGCGTTGGCGACAGCATGCAGGTGACAGTGGAATTTCACCCACTGAAGACTGGCGAGCACTCCGCGTCCCTGGTGGTGCACTACGACACAGGTGAGTGCTGGGCACTGCACAGGGCACTCTCTGAATCCCTCAGAGCAGAGTCCTTTCTAAGCAGAAAGGCTGATGTGGCCATGGTTTAAAGAAGGAAAAGGTGAGAGTTTTCATGGTGTTCATTTTGTTGCCATCTAGTTTGTAGCCATCTTGTTTGTCATCTTGATCATTGTCGAGCTCCCTATAAATGTCATTTCTAGAGAGCATGTCTGATATTTGTTGTTTGCATCTCACCTGGGAAACGCTCACCTGCAACAGGAATGGTGGAGGGCTTAGTACTAAAGTCTGAGCCCAGATGAATCCCAGGAGTTGGTTGGGAATAATAAAGGTTTGAAAGCTGTGGAAATGAGGGAGCCTTTGGTAGGGGTCTGTTCTAGAGGGTGAAATGCTGGCAAGTTGTCCAGGACATCTTCATGCTGTGCACATGCAGCTCCCAGGTTGTGATAAATGTGCTGATCCATGGAACCGCTCATTCAGCTAAAAGCTGTGACATTTCCTTCTGTCGCTCGTGGTTTGCTCCATTCCTTGTGCTTCCATCAGTTGTGAGTTGAGCAAAGACTCCCCTTTACTTTGTTCCAGGTGAAGCCACCCACACAAGCCTTCATGGAAGAGCTGTGAATGTCCCCATCAGGCTGGACAGTAGCACTGTGACATTTGATAAGACCTACATCACTCTGTCCAACCGAGCGACTGTGCTCATCCACAACCCCAGTAATATCACAGCCCGCTTCCAGCTGAAGGCTGCTGATACTGAGGGAGAGGAGGAGCAGCTGAGGATGAGGTAGGTTTGAAAGATCCATCTCAGTGATGTACCTTGCCCAAGGGTAAAGCTAACGCACAGCTTCAGGAGATCTTGGTGCTTTTGAATGGCTCAGGGTAAGTAAACCATCCCATCTGTACCTGTCTCCTGCAAGCAGTTCTGTGTCAGGAGAAGCCACCTGAGGTGGCTGGTGCATTCTCCCTCAGCTGTGGCAGAGGCTTTGGGCCAGGAGGTTCTCTTGAGGGCTGCTGGCTTTGGAAACCTCTCCTGAGCTTGCAAGTGTGGAGTGTGCAGTGAACAACAAGTGATCCCTTGATCCATTTGGGACCCCGCAGCTCAGGGTTAGCCCTTTGCGGAGGAGCTGCTCCTGCACTTCCACTTCTCCCTGCAAATCTGTGGCTTATTAAACAACCTGTTGGGTTTGTCTCTCCTGTGGCTGCAGGCAGTATCACAGGCTCTGTGAGAAGGAAAAGCACAAGTTGTCTGTTTTGCTGAAGGAGTGTGGAGTGGAGACCTCTCGCCGAGAACGCTTTGCCCTTCTCCTCCACAGCTTATGGAGTGAGCAGGCAAAGGTGAGAGGAGATCCCATACTGTTCCAGGATGACATTTTCTCCCTTGAGCCAAAGGTGAGTGATGGCTAAGAACCTCCCCTCCTGCTTGTCTTCCTCCTCTTCCCCCTCATCCCTGAATAAGGTCACTTGACTGATTCCTGCCTCAGCTGGCTTTGTGTGCCAGCAGACAAGTCACAGGGATTCTGCTGAGCTCAGAGAGCTGGCTGCAAAAAGCATTTCTGCCCTGTGGGCTCCTGGCAGGCAGCAGAAGCCTGACTAAAGCTTCCAGACTCTTGTCATTAGTGTTATTGATGAGCGCTACTCACTCCTTGCTCGTCACTGACACTCTAAATAACAGCTCACAGGACTGTGTTTGAAAACAAGAAATGTGATGTTTGAAGATAAATGTTTTGCTGTCTCCTTCTGCCTTAGGAGGGCGAGATCGGGCCGAATAGTTCGGCTGAAATCAGCGTGGTCTTTAAGCCCCAGAAAGCCCAGGTCTATAAGAAAACAGTTTACTGTGATATCTCAGGTACAGCTCCTTCCCCTGCCTGTCACTGCAGCGAAGGTGAGGTGCAAACACTCCCCCAGATCACTGGGCTCCTGTGTAACTGCTGGCAAGGGTCTGTGGTCAGCAGGGCAGTGCTGGTACATCCCCAGTCCCTGCAGCTTCCAGGGGATCTCCTCTCTCTGGAATTTTCCCCTCTCAGCTGTTGAGAATGCTGCCTGTGTTTAGTGAGCTCCTCCTCCCTTGCAAGAAGCACTCTCTGAAGTGCACCCAGAAGGAGGAAGGGCAACATTTCTGGCACTTCCTAAAGTTCCACTACCAACAGAGGGGTAAAGAGGAAAGGATGGTCTCTATGGATGTACCGTATCTCCTGAGGGAAGAGAAGGATCCGTATCTTTGCCTGGGACGTCGGGAGCTGGTCCCAGGCAGCTCAGAGTCAGGGACTAGCACTAAGGCAGCCTGGAAAATGCAGGACAGTGGAAGGAATTGCTGTACTGAAATAGAAATCTCTCCCCAGGCTGTGAGAACAGGCTGCCCCTGGTCCTCACTGGGGAAGGACTTGGGCCCCAGCTCAACTTCTACTTTAAGGAAGTCAACATCGGGGAGGTTTTTGTCAGCGCAAACAACCGCTTTGAGGTGAGCAGCAGGCGTGGGGGAGATCCTGGTGGCTCCTGGGGCAGCAGTGAGCCTTGTGGACCTGGGCAATTCCTAGCAACTTGGGCCATTGTGATGCTAGTCAAATTTGGGGTCTTTCTTGGAATCTGGATCTTTTTGATGGGCTCAGAAAGGTGTCTGTTGTTCATGAAACCCCAATCCCTTCTTTTGGGCAGCCTTCCTTGGAGATCAGCTGGGAGGCTTCCTGCAAAACCCCTTGACACATGAAAGCAACACTGGCTCAAAAAGCTGCATGTTCAGAGGCTTGTGTTGCAGTGAAGTTATCACTGCTTTGCATGCAAAACCCAAAGCCATACAATGTTGTATTTCCAAGTAGTAATTTTTGGCTTCTGCCATGCAACAGCACAGGGCATCTTCTGCCTTTTACAGGTGTTAATCATTTAGTTCAAAAGTAACTCAGACTTCTGGGAGAGAGGCAGATTCCTCATGTAATTCCGTTTTGCTTTCCTGCTGCTGCAGGCAGTCCTGTTTAACAGTGGGCCTATTGAGGCTCCCTTCAGCTTCACCCCTCCAAGCACAGACCTGGGCTCCTGCTTCACCTTCCAGCCCCAGGAGGGCATCGTGGCACCAAAGGCGCTCCAGGCCATCCGGATCTCCTTCTGTACCACCATCCTGGGGGCCTTTGAGGAAGAATTCAGCTTCCGTGTGACTAAAGCCCCTAAGCCTGCAACCTTGACTATCAGGTGAGGAGGGCTTTGGGAGCTTGCTGGGCACATCTGTAGCTGTCTCTGGGTAATATCTCCCATCTACCTCATTTCATGGTGGAGCAGAGAAAAAAGGTGTTGCCTGAGGTCTTAATCTTGGCTCTGGTTCTGGCGCCCCTTTGCTGTGGGGGTGCCTGCTGGCCTGTGTGGGTACCCAGGAGCTGGAGAGACTCCTCCCTGCAGGGATGTCTCGTGCTTAGGATGTGGCAGGCAGTGGGATGGATCAGCTTTGGGCAGTGGCTGCTCTGGGCTGTCCCACCTGAACACCCAGCAAAGCTCCCAGGGCTTTGGAGATGGGCCAGCCTGGGTGATTCTGCACCAGCAGCAGTGTTTTTAGAAACTTCTGCTCATAATCCATCCCAAATGGGCAGCAGCAGCCTCACCTCACCTGTCATGGCCATGCTGTGGGGGACAAGCTGTGCTCCCAACTCCTGTGCAGAGAGTGCTCCAGTCCCTTCTGTCCACAGCCAGGAAAGGGCTGGGAGACAGGGAACTGTGCAGCAGGAATGTGCCAAGGACATGGGCATCATCCCAAAGGGATGCAAAGGGTAAAATCCTCACTCAGCAAAGGGTAGAGGTGGGAAACAAAGAAGAAAAGTGACGACAGGAGAAGCAGAACTCACTTCTCAGGACCACAGCAGCCTGAAGGCCTGTTGCAGACAGTCTGTCAGCTGGTGACCGCTTTGCTTTGGCTGCCTCCTTTCCACGTGGGTGCTGTGCTGAGCACAGGGTGCTGGGTTGATTTGAAACCCAGGGTGGCTCTGACAGCAGCTTGTATCCACCCCCTCCCTAAGGACATTCTGTGCAATTCCTTTTAACAAAGCCACCGCCTCTCTGCCTTTGTCCTCGCAGGGGCTGTGTCATAGCACCGACTTTCCATTTTGATGTGCCTGCCCTCGACTTCGGTGATGTCTCCTTTGGTGAGTGTGCCCTGGGCTGGCACCAGAGAGTGAGAGCTTTGTGTGCAGCTGAAATGGGGCACTTGAACATAAGAGCATTCATCACTCCTGTTCCTCCACCACAGCCTCTTCAGGGTGTTAATTGCAGGGCTGCTGGTGCCTCGGCTAGCCTTTTGCCATCGTGAGATCAAACAGGACCCAGGGAATGGAAAGTCGACGTCGCTGTTTGGCCACTTCTTGTTTCCTTTTGAATAAGTGGCCCAATAAAAAAAGGCACCAAGCAGGAATCTGGTTCTGCAATAGCAGATGCATCCTGCTTCATCTGATTTCATTCCTAAGGCTTCTTCAGCTGGGGGCAGCTGTTTTGTTTCTTTCAACTGTGCTGCTGACTGTTGTCTGCACCTGGTCACCCTGGTGGCATTTGGGATTGTGACATCCTGTTTGTGCCTCTCTCGTGCCTGTTTTGTGCCGTTTGTCCTTTTTGTGCCTCTCTTGCCTCCCTGCTGGAGCCACTGCTGGAGCCTGCAGTGATCACTGTTGATGGGCATGGAGAAGCCCTGAGCTGTGTCTGCAGCTGGTTTTGCCTCCCCATCTGTGTTCAAATGACTCTTGGGCAGCAGGCTGTGGGAGATGTCTCCTCCACACACAGCTGGCCAGCCAAGCCATGACACTGTGCTTAGGGCTGATGCTCTACAGCACAGGCTGTCCAGCCTCAAGGGCAGTAGTAAGGACAAGGGACAGGTCTTCCATGTGCCTTCCAGAAAGGATTTATTCTCTTGAAGGTTCCAGGGACAAAAGACAAAAGGGCTACAGCAACTTGTATAGGGGAGAGGAGCAAGGGGAGTGCACAAATAATAACCCAATAGGGAAGACTTAGGGGAGGAGCACAAGGCTGGTTTATGCATTATTACATAATACATAAACCAGTGGAGAACACAAGGGGAGGAGAGGGGGGCACATGGCCCAATGGGGCTCAGAGGAATAGGGGAATTCCAAACAGGGTACAACTTAACAATAAAGAATGTAATTGAATCATATATAATGAACAACAATGCACAGCAACAAAGCCATATATTCACTGCAATGAGCTGTAGTTCAGTTAACAAAGAGGTAAAATCCAAGCACAGTTATCCTACCAGGGTATCCACAGCAGGAATCATGAGATGTTGATGCCTAAATGGATCTTTATGTTGTTTTCTTAGGTTTTCCTCACACCTTGCAGTGTTGCCTGTTCAACACCTCCCTGGTACCCATGACCTTCCACCTCCACATTCCTGAGGACGGGTTTGGAGAGCCCAGCATTAACGCCTCTAGTCTCAATCCCACTTGCCCATCTTGGAGGAAGAAATCTGATTGTCTTATGAAGCCAAAGGAATTTAACATACGTCCCTGCAGAGGGACTGTCCGTGCCCTGGGATCCATGGATATCAAGGTATGGGGAGAGTCAAGCCAGTGGAGCTGAAGTTTCACTGGATTGTGGGAGGGCTTTAGCTCTGATACCAGCTTTGAGCACGGTGTGAGTGAGAGATCTGCACTGGCCTGAGGCCTCTGTCAGCTGGGTAACTCGGGATGTTCCTGAAGGAGCACTGTTTTGTTCCCAAAATCACAAGCTGAAATCAGGTACCAGATGGTCAAGTGCTGGAGCCAGTCTTGTGTTTCTGAGAGTGATTTCTTTGACTGAAAGTGGGCAGAGGAAGGATGAAAACAGAAGGCTGCTGTTGAAGAGAGAGATAACATTGTAGAAAGCAGTTTTCTTCCTGATCTCGTTTCTCGTCTCCTGGGGAGCAGATGAGGTGTGTTGACTGCAGGGATCTTCAGTGGGGACAGAAAATACTCTGCTGTCATGAACTGCCCAGCACCTGCTGGGCCACACTTTGCCCTCAGCTTCCTGCTGTCAAGCTGGACTTGTTCCATTCAAGACAACAGACTTCTTCTGCATCTATGTCATTGCAGTCAGGTGAAAAATTAGTGCCTTCAACCAATCTGGTTGCCAGAAGGCTTTTGTTACTCCCAAAGACCGTGCTCTACTTATGGACCAGCAGAAGAATTAAGGCAAAATCTTGTCTCTCTGTACCATGGAAGAAGGACTGGGGGACACCACACATGGGTGATGAGGTTCTGGGAGTGAGCAAATACTTGCTGCACTTCTTTTCTCTTCTACCAGGTCACTCTGTGTTCCAACACGGCCAGAGAGTACAAGCTGGAGATGGTGATGGACGTGGAAGGTGTTGGCCAGAAGGTGTTTGCACTGCCCCTCACAGCCAGGTACCAATGCTTTCCTTGCAGCTGCTTGTCTTTCCTCGTGCATCCAGCACCAGCACGGTGCCAGGCTGCAGCTCCAAAGGAGAAGTGCAGCTAAATGAGCTGGATCTGCCTATCTAGACATGAGAACAGTGCTAGGAAAGCAGCCCATGGTGAGATGCTCCCCTGCTCACAGCCAGGCCTGGCTCTAGGCCTTTTTCTAAAGGGAGCTGGAATAACATTAATTGTGGGCCTGGGGATTGGTGCTTGAGATGGAAGAAATTTGCCAAGGCTTGCCTGTCCTTCATCCTACAAGTGCAGAGCTTGTGCTGGGTTGTTAGCACCCTGCAGCATTGGTTTGGGACACAGAGAGCAGCCTGCTGAGATCTGGGGTCTGGTTTGCTTCAACAGTGCATGTGTAGTGGGGAAGAGGCTGATGGCAGGAGTGGGGTGGGCAAAAGACCTTACAAAGGGGAACACAGTCTTTGATGTGGCAGGTGAGCTCACATTTCACTGCTTCCCTCTGGCTCTTTTGAGTAATGTTGTCAGAGTTGAGGGCAGAAGTTCTTGCTGCAGCAGAATCCCATCCTGCCGTGCTGCTGTGGGCGTCAGTTTATTGACAAGAGGGATGCAGTTCCCTGGTGCTGTTCCCTCTCCCAGGCAGAGCCATGCAGTCGGTGCCTGGGCTGCAGTTTTGTCAAGCAAGTGCCAATGGGGACAGTCAGTGTTGAGACCTGTGGGCTAAAGAACTGAGGGAGCTGCAGGAACTGGAAGAAGTTGATCACCCACTCTGTAGGCCTTGTGCCCTCCACTGTTGGAAGAGATGACTCAGTTCTCAGGCAGGACAACAGTGCCATAGAGAAGAAGGCAGTCATTTTCACTGATACCCTGGAGTCTTGTGTTCCTTGAGCCTTGGTGGGCACTGGTCCTCGTTGGAAAGGCTCCCCCAGAGCTCATGGATGCTGGGACGGTAACGGGGGTCCTTGCAAGTGTCCTTGGGCAAAGAAGAAGCAAAACTGCTAAGACAGCTCTGAAGTCCTGCAGGACTATTGACAGAAGTTCTCAATGCTGCCAGTATCACTAATGCCCTTGGGGTCATTTCCTTGCCCAGATGCATCGTTCCTCCACTGAGAGTGCTCGACCCTGTCGTGAAGTTCGATCACTGCTGTCTAACGGTGCCCTACGACGAGAAGCTGACCCTTGTGAATGACAGTGACTTTCCTGGCTGCTACTGTATTCTCCCTCAGGTTTGGCCTTGCATGCACCTCCTCCCCTCAGCTGTTACTGAGGGGGTTATTAGGGGAATAAAAGGGTTTGGGTAAGACCTTGCTGGTTTCTGTTCAAACCTAAAGCCTTTCTAAGAAGAGGGATCTGAATACACACTTTAGGAAGCAGTTTAAGGTAGTGAGGAAGGTGTTTCTGTTCTTGTCTTTGCCTTGCTTTCAAATGGGAGAGCTTAGAGGGCAATGAAAATCTGATGCAAGGAGGCTGTCAGCACAGAAGTGGGTGTGTGTAGATGCAGCAACTTTTGGACTCCCTGGGGGTGCTCAGCACATCCATCTTGCATCTTGTTTTTTGCCTTTTTGCTTTCTCCTGAGAACTTTTACAAGTGTGTGTGTGTGAGTTGCTGTTGCAGTAGATGTAAAGGAGTTTAAAGTTTCCTCGGTTCTGAAGTTGCTTTTGATTCTGCCCCATCTAGGAAAACAAGGAGAAAGCTGCTGCGTGGTACTCCAGCTCTGAGCCGTCTGGGATTATCAAGGCTCACAGCTCGGTGGAGATCCCGATTACACTCGAGGCCCAGCTGCTGGGAAAGTGCGACATCCCTGCTGAGCTGGCCGTGTTTGGGAGAGAAGGATCCCCGCTGGTGAGAGCGAGGGGAGATGTGTGCCTCGAGCAACTCGTGCCAGGGGGGCGTAAAGCGTGCAGGGCTTCTTCCAGGAACTTGTCATCTATGGCTGGTGTGGGCAAGGGCAGCGGGGATTGGTGGCACAAGCAGCAGCTTGTGCCTAGAAAAGAGGAAAGGTGGGAGCCTCGTAGGTGGCAATCTCAGTGCCTGACCCAGCACATAGTAACAAGTCTGGGAGGTGGGATAACAAGCCTGGCCTGAAACACAGCCCAGTCCCTCTGCTGTGTTATCAGATGGAAACAAGTGCTGCTTCACTACAACTGCTCAGGATCACACAGGGACCCCCCTGAATCCTGCTAAAGCAAGCACTGTGTACAAGATCATGCTGAAGGAATGTTTTGTGCAGAGCTGGATTGAGGCTTCTCTGAAAGCCCTCAGACCTGAGAACCATCCATCACATCTCCTCAACAAAAGGCCAGCCAAAAATATATGAATGTCTGCACAACTTGCATCTGGAGCATAGGCTTTGCTTGTTTTTTCCACCAAGTTTGCAAATGGATGAGGCAAGCAATTCCTGAACTAAAGCCTCCTAAAAGAGGATTCTGAAGATTCTAAGGAAGATTCTAAAAGAGCCCTAAAAGAGGCATATGTCATAACAGCAAGAGTGACTACAAAATGCAGGCCCTGTCTGCCAGACATGGATGCTCTTCATCCCTAAATAGTCTGATTTGTGCCATCAGCACCCCAGCAAAGCCACAGTGCTGCAGGACGTGGGTGTGTGTATGTAGCAATAACACTGAGGACAAAGTTGCCATCTGCTTTTATTCTTGTTCCTGTGGGTGGCATTGTCTGTAGCGCTGGTGAACAGGGCTTTCTTGTCCCTTTTAAGAATACTGTAGATGAAGGCTTTGTGTGTTTTTATAAGCCTTGAATGATGCAATTACTAATTAACGCCTCTTACTCATATATACAAAGAATACACATAAGCACAAGGTGAAGGCAGCTAACTCTCCTCTTGTTTACTCTGAGGAGCCTGCTTTGCTTCTGACTTGTGCTGGCTTCAGCAGTGTGGCTTTGTGAACGTTAAAGAAGTTAGTGTTCAAGGGTGGCTGTGCAGCAGCAAAAGTTGGGAAGGTGGTTTGGGGCAAGATGGAGCAGTGAATGAAGCAGGCAGGGGGCAGAGGAAATAGCAGTGTGGAGGAGGTGTGAAGAAGCAAGCATGGCAAGCAGCAGTTCTTTGTCCCCTGATAATGGGAGCTTGTGGCTTTCAGGTGGGGTCGCTGCAGACCCCACGCTCGCTCCAGGCCTTGTGTCTCAGCCAACATCACTGACAACTTATCCCCAGTCTAGGAATGCTCTAAGAGCTGGCTAAGTTTTTAAAACTCTCCTTGTTGAGTCTTTTTTTTTTGATCTTTCCTCCCTTCTTCCTGGAACAGGAAATCCATTTAGAGTGCGTTGGCCAGGGACCGGTTGTCTATGTCTATCCGAGGCAGATAAACTTTGGCACTATCCCTGTCGTACAAGACAGTGTCAAAACTCTCCATCTCGCCAATCAGAGTGCCATTCCTGCAATCTTCCGGGCAGAGATGGTAAGTGGGGCCGTTTTTCAGGGAAAAGTGCTGGTTAGGAGTAGACCTTGACTTGTTTTTAGTATGTGGTGGCTTGGGGTTGAGTGGGATGTGCTCCCTGCTGGAGGGGACATCTGTGAGAGGCTTGAAAACAGCTTAGAAAAGAGATTTCTGGATATATTTCTGTATTTCTATATCTTCTATATCTTCTTTATATTCTGGATATATTTCTGTATTTCTATATCTTCTATATCTTCTTTATATCTGTATCTATATAATCTCTATCTCTATCTCTATATCTATCTCTATCTCTATATCTGTATCTATCTCTATCTCTATATCTATCTCTATATCTATATCTATATCTATATCTATCTCTATCTCTATCTCTATATCTATATCTATATCTATATCTATATCTATATCTATCTATATCTATATATCTATATCATCTATATCTCTATCTCTATCTCTATCTCTATCTAATCTATATCTATATATCTATATCTATATCTATATCTATATATCTATATCTATATCTATATCTGTATCTATATCTATATATCATCTATATCTCTATATCTATATATCTATATCTATATATCTATATCTATCTTTTTTCTGTATCTTCTGTATATTGGGTGGGTTCAATTCTGGAGCTGGTTAAAGCCAGCCCTGACCCATGGCTGAAGCACTGATGGACCCATGGGAAAAGGAGACTTTGGGGTTTTGCTCAGCTGGCTTTGCAGAGTTATTCTTCAGGCTCTCAGCAGTGTCCTCCAGCTGTGTGGCTGCTGGGCTGGCATTTGAGCAGTCCTGGCTTCCTCTGCTCTTGAGCCTTTGTGCAGATGCAGCTCCACTGTCAGGAAGCCAGGAGAGAGTAAATAGCTTCCCATGGCAAGCACTCCAAAGAGAGCAGGAGGGGGAATACCCTTCTCCTGAGGAGGGGCTCCCTCTGGGTTGAGCAAAAGGAGGCTGATGATGTGGGTCTGTTAAAGGAAGGTAAAATACAGGTTGTATAAGCTCTTGGAGAGTTGCTGCTGCCAGACACCATAGCTTACATTTAGGGAAATTAAACACTTACGGTTTTTAACTCATCTCCTTAGCCCTCCTGTTTCCTGCATCTCAGGGCAGAGCAGGGTCCATGGTTTCTATCCTGAGTTCATGTTTGGTTTGTCTTACAGGCTGGGAAACGCTCCTGCTGGAGGGTTGAACCCAGTAAAGGGGTGGTGGCCCCTAACAGTGAGCTGCTTGTTGCTGTGATAGCAAACCTGAATGACACAAAGAAATTCCAGGACAGCGTGACGGTGTTCATTGAGAACAGCCCTACGACCACCATCTCTGTCCAGGCTGTGGGCATTGGCACCACAATTGTCACTGACAAGCCTCTCGTTCCTGCCCTCGACTTGAAGTCCCACTTCAGGTAGGAGACTCTGAGCTTCCACTTCTCCTTCTTTGGAAGAGCAGTTCTTCCAAAGTCCTTCAGGCTAGCTCTTCTTCAATACTCAAGGTCCCAGCTCTGTTTCCCTGAAGCCACAGGAATTCCTTTATAAATATATCACCTGAGAGTCACTGGATATCCTGGAAAGCCTCAGAAATGGAAAAGCTGAAAGACCTGGCAGGGCTGAAGCTTTGAGCCTGGGCAGCCTTTTGGGCAGAGGTTTTATTGCAGAGGGTACAGTCAGGGAATGCCATCAGGGTGAAGCTGAAGCGGGGTGATCACAGGCAAATAGCAGCTCCCATGACATTTTCTATCTCTGCTTCTCTTCTAGCTTCACTCCCTGCTGTTACAAGTTCAAAATGACCAACAAAGGGCGACAAACCCATCAGCTGTACTGGAGCACAGAAGGGTTCCACGCCTTTCAGCAGAATACTCGTCCCCCTGCCCGCAGGGGCAGCAGGAGTAAAGACGCTTCCCAGACCCCCAGACCTGGCAGCCCCGTGTTTAAGCTGCGGCCGCTGATGACGGACCTGAGGCCAGGCCAGACTGTGGAGATGGTGCTGGAAGGCTGCTCCAGCACTGTCCAGGTGAGACCCCTGCCAAGGGCTGAGCCTTCCCTATGTGATCCCCTCCACTGCGGCTTCTTCTGCATCCCCCTGACATCTGCCTGGGACAGGGAGCAAGTGACTTCAAGAAAGTATTGTAAGGCCGGCTGCTTTCCTTGCTGGCACCATCAGTTGCTAAGGCTCTTTTGTGTTTCTGTAGCTCCCATAAACCCAACTTGCTGGCCCCAAAATGCAGGCTGAAGGAAGTATTGCTCCTTTGGGCAAACAGGGGTTAGCGCTGTCATGTGCTGAGGCAGAAAGGAAACCAAGAGAAGAAGTTGCACTTAGACTAGAAGCCTAGGCAGGAAGTAAATGAAGCTACAGTCAAGTGTTTCTTCTGAGGGAAGCAGGGAGTAAAACAAAAGCCCTGTGAATGGCCCAATTGTCTGGGAGCAGCATTGCTTTTCCTCTGAAGACAAACATGGGCAGAGGGCTGGTCCAGCCTTGAGTCCTGGAGGGGGAAAACACAGTGTGCCAGTTCTAATGATCAGTGCAGTGTCCATCCAGGTGGGAAACTGTTCCCAGGGATCATTAGAACTGACAAATTGCCTTGTGTCAACTTTTCTATTACTGCTTGTCCCAGTCTCTGAGCCAGCCCTGGTGTCCCAGAGACAGACAGGTTTTGCAGCACCCTTGGAGAGAGCAACTCAGAGGGAGAGATTTTAGCAGAGTTTGGGGGTGTTCTCCTAGCCAGACCTTTCTTTCCAGGGGAAATGAAACTCTGCAGAGAAGCTGCCAGCTAAGTCTGGCATGCCTTCCCTGGCTCCAGGACCCCTGGGCACAGATATTTAGAATAAATAGGCAGCAGCACAGAAAGAAAAAAGGGCTATTGAGGAGAGCAGAGCCTATTTACAGTCACTCCTAATAAGTGACAGGGAGAGGGCCCATGGGTGGGTGGCAAGGCAGTGTGGGTGTTTGGCCTGCCAGCACGCACTGGGTGCCAAGTGAATCTCTCATGCAGGAGGTGAAGGAGCGGCTGCTGTGCCATGCTGTGGTGGGGAAAACAAAAGCAAAGAAACAGATCATGCAAGTGGATGTCACCTGCAAGTTCATTTGCCCTGCTGTGCAAATGTCGACCAAAGCAATCACGTTCCGTGTGGAAAAGGTAAGTCTCCGGATTGCAGCCTGGCATTTAAAGGCGTAACTCTTCAATTGGCTGGAAGTAAATGGAGATATACGCACTTCTGGGGTTGAAAATTGTGAAATGCATCTGAAGGGAAAGAAGGTCTATGGCCACTTGAGGTTGTTTTCCCTTGACTCCTGTTTCTGTAGAAACCCAGTGACGTCCTGACGCCCCAGTACAAGCCTTTGTCTTTAAAAAACACCTGTTCACTGCCATTAAGCATTGTGCTGGACTTGAAGCAGCCATTCCTAATCTGCAACAGGGACCAGCAGCCCCTTCCTGCAGATTCCAAGGTGAGCTTGAACAAGCTGTGGGCTTGTTCAGAGGGGTCTGAAGAGGAGGGATGGTGCACTTCTGTTGGGAGGTCCTCGAGCTGAGAAGTTTATTCTGTAGTGTCAGCAGTGGATTGGCCTGAGCTGCATCAGCAGAGCTGCTGAAGGAATCCAAGTCTTATCTGAATTAGTAACAACCATGCTGGCTCTAAAACATGAGGAGAGGGGAGCAGGAAAGCAGATTGGGGCAAGCCATGCAGTAGAGGTGTCTCCTGGAAAGCATCCCAGCTCTCCAGCAGCCTTGGATTGCTGTTGAGCACAGAAACATGAGCCTGAGAGAATCTTGGACCAGAGCGTGATGCCTGCAGACAGATCCTCCCTGTAAAGAAATGAGGGTGGACTGAGAAGCCCACGCTGGGGTCACACTTTGAACGTTTACTGTTTCCTGCTGTCCGACCTTGGGACGTGATCACAAAGGTGCTTAATGCTTTTCATCTCCTTGCAGCCCATGACACTGGATGTAGGAGAGGAACTTCATCTCTGCATCCAGTTTAACCCAGCTTATAAGAAGGATTTGAACAGCTGGGTGGCAGAGAAGGTTCTCAGGCTGCGCTATGTGGGTCATCCTCGTGAGGAGCACATCACTGTTCGGGGAGAAGTCTACTTCCCCAACCTCCATCTCCAGGCCGAGGCCGTGGACTTTGGCTGCATCATTAATGACACAGAACAAATGCTGTGTATGGAGATGAGCAACTGCAGCCCAATTCCTGTCCAGTACCACTGGTCATTCCTGACAGACAGCCAGGTGAACACCATAAGGTATGTGCATCATTCCAGAGCTGCTCCGAGCATGGACCTGCTCCAGCCTGGTTTGGGAGTGGCTGTTACTGAGCTCACCACACCAGCATCCCAGTGAGGAGCTGCTCTTGCAGCATCTCTCTCTCCCACTACAGGTCCATGATCGTAGTTATGTTATTTTCCAGGTTCCTCCCTTCACCACCTCAATTCAAACCCCAGTCATCAAAGAAGGAGGGAGTGTTTCAAAGGAGATACTCCAAGATTAAAAGTGTGGAGGAGCCAACCGAAACCCCGGAAACAACACTGGATTCTGCCTGGGAAGATTCTGCCCAGGAGGATTCTACCCAGGAATATTCTGTCCAGGAGGATTCTGCCCAGGAGGATTCTGCTGAGGAGGATTCTTCTGAGGTGGATTCTGCTCATGAGAATTCTGACCAGGAGGATTCTGCTCATGAGGATTCTGACCAGGAGGCTCCTGCCCCCGAGGATCCAGCCCAGAAGGATCCAGCCCAGGAGGATCCTGCACAGGAGGATCCTGCCCAGGAACCAGCAGATGCGGAGGACCCTCTGGAAGCAGAGGTAGATTTTCTTGTGCACCTGTAACTTGCATTGCCTCCTCAGCTTGCCACCAAAAAGTCATGCTCATGCAACCTCCCTTTTTGCTGCCCTTCTGCCCTGTGCCCTGAGAGTGGCAGTTGGACATGGGGTGTTTGTGGAGGGAGATACAGGGATGTTTTGCTTGGAGAAGCCCACTCAGATCCTGCTATATATATGTTATACTACTTATACTGCTATTATTATAATATTATTATATATTATATTAATTATTTTACTATTATTATACTACTATTACATATTATACTACTCCTATGCTGAGTTTGGGATTTTTGGACGTATTTTCTTTACAATGTAAAATGAGGTCTTTACACCATGATGAGAAGGCTTCCAGCTTCTTTTGTGTGTCAAGCCATGAAGAGTCCTGATCTCCGTGTACTGCTTTCCCAAGCCAGCCAGAGCACTCCCATCTCTGCCTTCACCCGAAAGCTGGTGTTGCAGTGACAGCTCAGAGCTGTCTTTTATAAAGCAAGACTTTGCAAAGTCACTGTCTCTTCCTCCAAACAAGGGGAAAGGCCTTTGGTCTGCCAACTTGCCTGGTGAACATTAGTGCTTTGGAGTGGGAAGTGGCCCCTTGTTCTGCCTCATGGGGAAGAGACTGCTCATGGGGTAATTAAAAAAAAAAACAGATGTAAGGAAGCAGAAGAGCTTCTCCAAGCCCCAGTGTTGGCATTAAGGAGAGGGGTTGTTCCTGTTCACACACAAATACCAGTTGTTTTAACTCTGCAGTTTTTCTGAACCAGGAGAAACAAAGCCCTATAGATGCAATGAATAGTGTGGTCAAATGTTTTCAGATAGAAGCATAAAATCATCTTTCTTTCCTGGTTGTTGCCATACATGCACAAATAAACCAGGGAAATTCAAGTGGCTGTCCAAGAATCCTGGAATGGTTTGGCTTGGAAGGGACCTTCAGAGATTATGTAGTTCTAACCCTCCCTGCCTGACTGCTGGGGGCACCCAGTTCCCTCGTGCAAGTTTGATGTAAGAAGTGCAGAGGGAGCCCGGCTCTCATCTGTGGGTGGGCTTGGTCCCGCACTCGACCGATGGCCTGGACATTTTCACACCTGATCTGTGCCCAGGTCCCTTCTCAGCTGCTCCTGCTGTGATGAGGTGGTGGAGCCTGCAGCAGAGTGATCTTGCTCAGAGCAGCCCGCTGCTCACTGCAGTCCATGGTGCTTGTTTTCCAGGAGCTGTCATCTATTGCTGTGGAGCCTCAGAGGCAAGTGAGGAGGAGGAGAGGGTTGAGCCAATTCTCAGAGATGAAGCGCCTCAACTTGGGAATGCAGGAGGTAAGTGGGAATTTGTCTCACTTCCATGTTTCCAAAATGGAAAGCTGTTCTGTAGCCCCCCAGTCCCACTGGTGGCCCGCAGCATTGCCCACAGAGGAGCCTCACATCCGTCCACACCCATCCCAAAGCTCTGCTGAAGCAACTGGCCACTGGAGAGGCCATGTGGGATGTTTTGTAGGGCTGCCCCAAGATGCTCCCTGTGCAGCACCTGTGGGGCATTGCTCCCATTTACCTCATCAGGTGGCTGACAGGAAATTTTTGTAGGAAATTTGGCTGCAGCAGATGAGAGAGCAGCACAGAGATCAGAGAGAGAGGGAAAAGCCTCAGAAGTCAGATGAGTCTTGCCCAAGTTCCAAGGGCTCCCACCTCCAAGTCTGAGGTGCTTTTCTGCAGGCAGTGAGAAGTGTTTCCAAAGACAAGTTCACAGCAGAGAGAATTTCTTGCTGCCAGGAGACATTCCAGTTTACTTTAATGCAGCGTATACTCACGGATAAGTGATTATGGGAGAAGATTTTCCTCATGGTCCCTCCACTGGTCCAGTGGCATTGACCCAGGACGAGATTAGGGTGATTCTGGCTTGGGGAATAGGCCCCTCCAGCTATGACTCTGCATTACTCCAAGACACAGCTGCTCTTCTGCATCCATTTCCACACTCAGCACCTCGATCTCTCCTCCCTTCCCTCCAGGTTTTTGATGTCCGGCCACTGTGGGGTGAGCTGCAGCCAGGAGAGAGCCAGCTGGTCACCTTCTCCTTCTTTGGCTACGCCAACATCGTTGCCCGTGTCAGGGCTCTGTGCCACGTGGAGGGAGGCCCCACCTATGAGGTGGTGCTGACCGGGCAGGCTTCGTGCCCCAGCTACCAACTGGACGTGGAGGAGATTGACTGGGGGCTGCAGGTACCACAGGCTTCTCCTGGCACAGCTCCTTGTCTTGGAATCATGGCCACTGGGTTCCTGCCTACCTCGATCCCAGGCTCTCTGCCCTTCTCAGCTGCTTTGCTGGCTCTGAGGCTTGCAAGACAACCTTTGAGAGCTATGTCCAGCATCCAAGCTGGTTTAAAATAGCCATCTCCACCCCTCCCTTCCTTCCTGGCCGAGGGACATCACACCATCCCCTTCAGGGCACCTAACACTGCCTCCTGGGGAAGACAAGGGTCCCAGTGAAGATGTCCAGAGGGACATGTCCCTGAGATGTCCCTCCACAGATCTGCTCCTAAAGCTTGAGCTCCAGGGAGATGCTCTTGTCTAATGCTCCTGCTTGAGCCACAAAATAATCCAGGGAGGAAGCTGGGCTTTCAGGTACTTCAGTAGCTGAAAAGAATGTCCCAGAATAATCCCCACTTTACTTCTTTATAGTTAAAAGCCCACAGATATTTCCAGCTGCTGGCCCTGTCTGTGTTGTCCTGTGTGTCTCTCCTGTCACCTGTATGTTTCTTGCCAATATTTGCATGCAGGTGCCTTTTCTTCTGGAATGCCTCTCTTAGAAATGCACTGACTTTTAGATACAATCAAATGGGGACAAAGTTGTCAAGTCAAGAGAAAAGTGTTCACTAATAACGATTCAGCTGAGTGGGCTGTGCATCTCCCTCCTCAGGAGCTGAGCACAGACCCCCCCATCACCAGAGCAGCTTCTTTTATACCCTTTATAGCTGTCTGGGGCACTCCCTGTCCCCTTTCCCTTTGGATGGGTACTCGGGAACTTACATTCTCTCTGGCTGCCAACTTTGCTGCCCCCTCCCCTCTCATCCTATTTCCTTTTCAGTCAGGTCTTCAACCCTACAAACCAACCTGAACAAATCCAAACAATCCAAATAACAGCACATAGAACCAATGGCTTTCATTCCTTCACTTAACAACCTTTTGGCTTCATCTCACACACCTCAGTGCCACTTCCTGTGTTTCTCCTGGCTGTTGGTGACCCCTCCGAGTGCAGAGGACCTGTGTCCCCTGGCTCCTTTATTACTGGCCCTGACAGAGAGGTTTTACCACCTCTCTGTAGTTGTGTGGTTGCATTGTGGCTGTTTGTTTTCAGCCCCATGAAAGAGGAAGGAGATTGCCAGCATCAGGCCTGTATCTGTAACATCCCACTCCTCTGTCCTCTGTCCAGGTGTTTACCAAAGTCCTCCAAGCAGAAGTCACCCTGCACAACACCGGGGTTATTGAGTTCACCTACGTGGTGCCAAACTCCAGCACTGGCACTGCAGCAAACCCTCTGCCTGGTGTGCCCGTGGTCATGCCCACCACAGTGAGTAGTACAAGTCATTGGCTCTGGCCCTGTGTCAGGTGGCCCAGGAGAGGGTTAGAGGAAAAAAAGAGGGTAAAAGAGCGGGGGGAAACCCCAAACCCAGCCCTGAGAGACAGGGCTGTAAGCAATTGGTGCTGGGGACAGAGAGGTCAAGCAAGTGCTCACCTAATAGACTCCCCCATGGCCTTGGCTGGCAGGTACCACTGGCCAGAGGCACGAGTGCTGAGCTCTCTGGCTGTGCTGGTACTGGAGTTGGGTGCTGCTGCCTCTTCTGAGGGTCACTTTATTCCTTGTCCCTGTCTCCCTGCTGCCAGCATTAAGCAGCATTTACATATTCCTTGCTTGGCCTTGAAGCTCCTTTGCCAGAAATGGCACAGTCCCTGTGCTGGTCCCTCGCTCCTCCAGCTTTGCTTCTCTGCAGGAGCTTTGTGGGGCAGTGAGGGGACCAGGGAGGAGCGGGGCTGAAAGAGCAAGAAGAGTTTGCAGCATGCCACCATGCTGGCTTCTCGGTCCTGCCTGGATGTCTTGGAGCTTTAGCAGTATTCCTGTCCTTGGCCCTGTTGGAATGGGAAGGGGAAGCCAAAGGCTTTCCCATGGTTTCACGTGTGTCTCGTGCAAGGGGTGACAGGCTGGTGTCCTCCTGCTGCAAGCACCTGCGGTCACAGCTCTGCATGGGCCGTGCAGTCAGTTGTGCTGTGGCTGCAGCCTGGAGAGACCTCAGGAGGACACACTGCACCCCAGGGCTGGAGGCACAAGCTTTTGGGCACGAGGAATGTAGAAAGGGATGTGGTCTGATGTTTTCTTCTAGATGAGAACCTGTCTTCTCAGCCTGTCCATCCCCTGAGCCATCCCCCATCACATCTTTGATGCAGTCCCTTCCTCCTGTCCCATCCCTGCAGGGTTCCATTGCACCTGGCGAAAAGCAAGTGCTGAAAGTCTATTACCTGCCAGGAAAGCAAGGAGTCTTCTGCAGGACTGTCCAGATCCAAGTGGCTTATCTGGAACCGGCAGAGATCTTCCTGAAAGGAGAGGGGACCATGTCTAGAATCACCAAGGACCTACCCCGGAAAAGTTCGAAAGGTGAGCACTGTCATCTTCCAGAAAGATCCGCCGGGTTTTCCGCCTACCATAGCGCATCGGGCAGCTCACAGCCACCTCCACCAAGTCTGGAAGTTTCAAGGCTGCCAGACCAACACTTTGGCCTCTCTGGTTGCTTCCTGAGTTTTGAGCAGTTGAGCCTATTTAGGCTTTCTCTCAGGAACCATCCTGCAGATCTTGTCAGCACATTGTTGGAGGCCCAGAAAGATGATGGCTAGGCAGAAAAGCTTGGGAAAGCTGTAAGAGAGGCTAGCAGGGCTTTTGGCAAGGCTGGATCTGCGCGACATTGTAGGGGATGACATGGTCCCCTGTGAGGAGGAAGATAAGTGAGAACAAACATGAGGATTCAGAGAGGAGCAGCAGCATCCATTGTTTCTGGGAGAGACCAGTGTTGGGGAAGTGAGACTTCCCAGCTTAAATGGGATTGGCAATGTTCCTAGTCTTCTATTTATGGATCATTTTTTCCTTCAGGAAAGAGGAAGAAAAGAAACCTGAAGGAAGAAAAAAGGAAGAGGGATGAATCATCTGTCATCCACCCTGGTAACTGAGTCTGTCATTGATGGAGTTATTGATTGTCTTGGCTGAACAACAGGCTAGTGTCCAACATCTCCCCAGGGCCTCCTCAGCTGAGGAGCTCCCCCAGCAGCATGCTGGGTCTGGTGGAAGAGGTGGGAGGGTTATTCCCACTTGGGAAATTGGAGGAGTAGCAGCTGGGCTTCCTCTCCAAGTTGCCTTTGCTTGTGGGCAGCCCATCCTCCATGCTTTCAGCTCTCACATACATACTGCCATAATCAGATGATAAGATTTCTGGGCCACTTGCTGAATTTGGAGAGCTTGTGGTGTGTTCTCTTTTGTGAATGAGAGAGCTATTTATATTTAAGTGTTTATACCTACCAAGTGAGCAGAATATTCAGTCAGTGAAGGGCCAGGCACCAGAGAACTCTTCTTCACTTGCTGTGTAAATGGCAAGAGGGGCAACTGAACTGGTGAACTTGGTGTTTTCCAAATGGCATTTTCATGATAGCCCTCATTATTCTTATATATTCTCTCATATATTCTTATATATTCTCTCATATATTCTTCAGAAGACAAACCCTGAGAAGTTCAGTCCTGAAATTCTTTCTGAAACTGGGAAGCTCTTTATGAAGAAGTTTTCTGTTGCTAAGCCTGTGAGTGCTTTGACATGTCATCACGTGGAATTTCCCTTACTCTGAAGGACTCAATGAATGAATTGAAGAACCTGATGAGTGAGAAGAACCTCAAGTTCATGCAAGGTGTGCATTGGCACACCTTGTTTACCAATAAAGCAGGGAAAAAAAAAAGTCTTATGTGAAGAAATCTGTGAATGCTGAGCTCTCTACCCAGACATGACACAAATTTCTATTTTAATTAAAAACGTTCTCATTTTAGTAGCAGTGAGATTATTAGCATTGAGGTTTCACCTAATATGAAGAGTTTAAAGTCAGATTTTTAAATGTGTTTTAATAATTTCACAAGGGCTTAATACTGAAGAAAACCCCTGTTCTTCATACATGTGCCTTCTACTTTGTTGAGTGTTCATGGGGATTTCTGAGTCTCAAGGAGACGAGCAGTTGTTGGTTGCTGTAAAGATGTTTATTATATGAATGCATCAGTCTCGAAGGCAAAGAGTTCAGAGAGTTAAAGTCTGTGCTAAAAGCTTTTGGCATAAAGTCCAAATTCTGAGCAGCAGCAGCAGCAGCACTCTGGTACAAAGTCCCGATGTCCTGGGCAGCAGCTTCCCAGCACAGAGTTTCTATGATGTGGGCTGCAGAAGCAGTTGCAGTAGTTCTTCTTCTTGGTGATGATGATGATGGTGCTGCTGCTGTTCTTCTTCTTGATGTGTGTGTGGTTTTCCCAATACAGGGGATTAAATTTGTAAATCATCCAATCAGCTAAAAACATGATTCTAAAACATTCTTTCAATACCAATCTAAGCTTAATTCTTAACTCACAAAAGCAGTAGTAGTTTTACCTAAATCCTATGTACAGAGTATTATCTGTATAATTTTATTTATGTATATAGTTCTATCTGTTCTATCTAGAAATGTAAGCTGTGTTCTTACTATATTTTCATTGTGTCTGGAGCTAAGTTACATCTGTGAAAGGTAGTATCACTGAACTTTAAACTAGGCCTTTAGGCCTTTCACTAACTACGGACTCTTAAGGCACTTAAGCTATATTTTACCTACATAAAACTAAAACCTACACTCTTACTTCATATCTATGTGGTTTAATGTATTTTAATACTTTTCTTTCTCTGAGGGACTCAGGCTATTATTATGGATTCCAACATACTTCTCCAAGGATTTCATCCTAGTCAAAAAAACCAAGTCCTTTTTTCTTTTAACTTAAAAAGTCAACTGATATCAAACATAATGACAACAGGATATTAACAACATAACATTAGCTGAAAGAGCTACTATAGGAATATGAAAGGTTTGATGGCAGTTACTGTGTTTGCACAGTAATGGCCATCAGCTTTTTTTTATCACACTTGCATCTCCTAGTGACTGGAGCAGGGGCAGCACAAGTGCAAACACCCACAGGAGCAGCTGAGATGTTTTCTTCATCTTACTGGAGCCTTGTGCTCAGGCATGTTATAAGTGATCCTTCTGTTGAGCTTGGGAGGTTAATTAAAGTTGTTATTATTGGAAGGTTAATTGATGTTACGAATTACGAAGTTATAAGGGATAAAAGTTAACTATGTGTAATTATGTTGTAAAGTTGTTAAGATGATGGTTACTAGGATTGTTAAATACTTTGGAATATTCGGAGTGAGACTGGATTGGGGTCCGGTGGATAGAATGGGGGACTGGTAAGAAATATAAGGGGGCTTATGGGGGCCTGGAATAGAATATTCAAGAACATGAAGTAATGAAGATGCTGTCAGTAATGAAGATGTGTCAGATGCCTGGAATAGAACATTTGAGAACATGAAGTAATGAAGATGTTGTCAGCACCGTGAGTAATGATTGGAAGAAACATACACCAATAATTCGACGCCCTGGAAAAATGATTGGACCAGGATGAACACGGCTATGGATCAATCAGAGCCCGAGAAAGTGACCAATCCAGGACTAAGGGAGGGTATAAATCAGGGTGTTGAGGGTTAGCAGGGGCTTCTTCTGCTGGGGAACCCATTTGTATCCTTTGTTGCTATCCCGGTTTGTAGCGTGAGGCACACAGGATTAGCCTGCGTCCTCCTTTGGCTGCAGCTCAGTCTTAATAAAAAAGCCAGGCTTTAATTTACATCAAAAAGTCTCCAGTCTCGTTTATAACAAGGCACAAGATTCTGAGGGACACCAAATGCTTTCAGCTCACCTTGGGATTCAGATCAGCTGTTCAGGCCTGGTGACACCTGGAGCTGTGCAGCAGATCTCGAATCCAGACTAAATCACTGGAGCTTTTAAAAACATCATCATTTGCAGTAAAGTCCTGACCACTGTGAAAGAGCTGCTAGTTCAGCAGCAATGAGGGAACAAGCATTTCCAGCACAAGGAACACCACGTGTCTGACACTGCCAGAGTGCCTGGTCAGCTACAGATAAGCATTTCTGTTCTTGTGAATCCTCACCTCCACTTTTCTTTCCTGGAGAACACTCCTGCCATTTGTATTTTTATTGTGCGTTCTATAAGTGCTTAAAGATACCACACAAGACTGTATGGATCACCTTGTCCATGTATGGCACGTGTAAGAGACAGATCTCCAAAAGTTTTCATAGGTTAACTCAAATAGACACAAATTACATCAAACAGTATTATCTCATCATAGGCAAAACACTGAAAGCATCTCCCATCACACAGAACAAAGGCACTGAAACTGAGAAAGAGCTGAAATAGACCTTTTATAAGTCTGATTCACAAAAAATATTGTGTGCTTCTCACAACTCTTAAAAGAGATTAAAAATTGTATTAATCTAATTAGGGATTGTCAACTTGAAAATTTCCAATTAGAAAAAAATTCAAGCGTAGCTTTCAAAGAACAGGTACAAAGGAAATGAACAAACCTCCTTTGTCCTCTTTCAAAATAAGTTAATTTCCAGACCAAGTTGTCACAGCTTACTTTTCTTTTTTTCGTGTATAGATGCATACAAATTAATGAAATTATTCTCAGAGGATGAGATTAAGTTGTCAAGATCATAATCCACCTCAAAGGTAGGTCTCTCTCCAAAAATTACAAGAGCAAGAAATACAGCGAAGTGTGCAGTCAGTCCCCATATCTTGAACGACCTTTTATGTTCCTGGTCATCGTATGTAAAGCAGTGTACCTGAGTTGAGTAGCCTGAGGAGGTTTTATAAGGGAAGGTCTTGTAATTCAAAGGCTTGATAAAGTACTCCAAAGGCACAAGAAAAACTTCACTCACTTCATCTGGATTAGGAGTGACCTGGAATGTATCCTCTAAAAATCCTACAACTGGTGTCACCAAGTTATTCATCTAAAAAGAAAGAAAAAAAATCAATGAATAAGTAAATTTTTAAAAATCAACAAACCCCTCAAACACGTTTGCACCAAGTAAAATGTTCATTCTTAAAAAAAAAAATATTTCATTGTTACAAAATGAGTACAAGAGCCTATGAGCTATTTTTAACTGCAATGCAATTCAGTCCCCCTAATGGCAAGCTATTTAATTTGACTTGAATTTGAAATAATATTTTTGTATTTGTCAGAAATGATTTTACAAATAATCTGTTCATCTTGTATAATCACAGAGCAGTTAAAAACTGCCAGTTTGCTACAGAAGTAAAAGAGCATGCATGCTTTCTCATGGGTCCTCCTCGTTTACTTTTTTTTTTATTCTGCTTTTAATCCAGATTTTCCATATCCTTCATCATATTTCTGTATTGTTTTCCCAGGATAGAGGAATTTTCCAGAATATGAAAATGTTTATCTAAAGGTACAGAAATATTATTGCAATATATTTAGCCATAAAATAGAACACTTTTTGAAACACCTGATTTACGGGCATTTTCATTCTAAATGTAATCCCTTTTTCCATAGGAAGGCAAATTCTACTGAAATCATAGTTTGCATCAATGGAACACCAAAATTCTTTAGGATACATTTCTAGTTCTATTTATTCACACAAATACCAACTGTTCTGTAGAAAGGAGGAAGAGCAAAATAGTTTTTGTGGTATTTGACTCAATTCTGGAAAGACTCTGTCCAAGTCAGAAGCACATGGAATGTATGTATTGAGGAGACAAAGTATCAGACATGTACAATATTCATGGTCCAAAACTCACATCATCTCTCCTACTGACTGAGAAAATTGGCTGAAAACAGGGAAAATTTGATCCTGTTTATACACTCCCTCTGAACTATGTGGCTTTAAGATTATCTGTACAGAAATTAAAATTTAAGAAGTTAAATAAAACTTTTTTCAATACAATTTCAAAAGTACTTCTTTTTTAATGGGGAGAGGATATTGCTAACAGATTGAAAAACAGGAGGCATAGTACTAAACTGTTACTTGGTGAACAAAAATAGTCTTCAGAAACAGAAATTCCTCTGTTCTATGGGAAAACTGATCCTATTTAATAGTACCATTGTTATAGTGAATTGAATAGTGAATTGCTATTGAAATGGAAAACCTGTTACTTTACAAATGGTGGCCCACACTCCCAAGACACCTCTGGGAGTCTCCCTGCTAAAGGTCTCTACACAATCCTGGTGCACATCCCCTCTGGTGCTCCCTCTGGGTCTGCACAGCCCTGGAGCCAGCAGACGAGAGCCCTGTGAGGCTCCAGCAGCCTGCTGGGACCCTGCCTGGGTGAGCGAGCTCTGCACAGCTCCAGGGATGGAGACTGTACAGCCTCTCAGGAACATCTGCTCCAGTTTTGGGCTGACCTCATGGTGAAAAGGATTTATTTTCTTGCATCTCATCAAAATGGCCAGGTTGCTGCTGTGTCCATTGCCTCAAGACAATTGTCATTGTCCTCTCCATGACCACGGAGGAGAAGAAAGCAGTCAAATCCCCTGGTAGCTTCCAAGCTGAGCAAGCCCAGCTCTCCCAGCCTCTCTGCTCCTCACCCCCTCGCTGTAGCCCTGTGACTGTACTCAAGGCTCTGTGCTGAACTGTCTCCAGCACAGCACTGTCTGTGGCACTCCAGAGTGTCACTAACTGGTGTCCCAAAGGTGCTCTCAGAAATACCAAACACAGAGCAAGAACCCTTTTCCTGGGCCCTGCTGGACACACGTGCTGTGCACTGGAAGAAGCGGCGCCTCTTGGCAGCTGCAGGTTTGAAAAGGTCACTGCCCACCTCACCAAAGAAAACCACCCAAACTTACTTTGTAATGATATACTGACTTACTTTATCAATTCCAGGCATCAGCCTACAGATGACTTCCACCTTCTCTGGCTGAAGACCCACTTCTTCTTCAGCTTCTCGGAGAGCAGTGTCAATATCATCTTTATCAGTGGCTTCTCTTTTACCTCCTGGAAAACACACTTCCCCTGGTGATCTTCTCAGCTAGAATGTAAAGTACCATTGTTAAATATAACAAGGTTTGTCTTTCTTACTGGATCCACACAGACACACGTTGGTATTGCAGGATCCCTTTATCTTTCCAGTCCAAAAAATGGTGGTAAAGGTTTCTGCAGACCAGAAGAAATGTGCCTTAGCAAGAGTAGCTACTTAAGAAAACACTGAGCCTATCCCCTGCTAATCCATAAACCCTATCAGAAATAAACTGCACCTGTACAGCATTGTGTAATTCATACTGGAACTTCTGCTTCAGTATGTCAGAGTTTGCATTTTGCATCATCTTGTTTGTGTAAATGACTGACAGCAGAATCCAGACAGACAAATCCAGACAGACAACTTGTAGAGCAAGATTAAAATACTCTAAGAGCAAAAACTTCTGAAAGACAAAATTAAATAATATACCTGTGAGAAAGTAGATAACGTTTGCTTCAGCCCAACAAGATTATGGAGCAAAAGAATGAAAATGGTTGGGGTGTATTTTGTTTAATCTGTTGGATGTTGTTGAGAAGCAGAGAGGGGCAGGGTTCAAGACACAACCAGAACAGGTAGAAGGATGAGAAAGGAAGGGACAGAAGAGTTGGCAGTCGAGAGAGAGCATCAGTTTTTAAGTACCCATTCAGTGGGAAAGGGTATAAAAGATTGCCATTTGGTCCAAGTGAGTGTGTGTGTGTGTGTGTGTGTGTGTTTTCACCCCTGGGGAAGGAGACACACACACGACACAGCTGGCTCGTTATTAATTAATGGTAATTTAGTTATTGCTTCAAAGACTGTGTCACCTCTTAACTGTACCAAAAAGTGAGTTATTTCTAAGATACCTTTAATTACATTCCAGTAGTAAGCTTGCACATCAAAGATCAGTAAAAAACGCATTTACAATCAGTGTATCAGCTATGTAACTGTGACTGTTTGTTTCTTTGAGCAGGACCCAGCAACAGAAAAAAGTAATTCCCGAGTACAGGCAGTTCGTGTGAGGCAGGGGTGGAAAACAAGAGCTGTAAAACGAAACAAAATGCTGGCAAAAGAGTTCTGGGAGCCTTAGCTTGTTGCCTTTTATGTATTAAAGGCAGAAAAGAGTAATACTAACTGCAGACTGAAAAATATCATTTACTAAAGCTGCACTGCACTGTCAATTTCCTTATGGAGGTAAACGGTCGTTGGCGACTCTGGAAATGCTCATTTCCCGTCACGGGTTTCCGGGGAGCCGGCCTGTTCCTGGCAGAGGAACACCACAATCACCGAGTGTAAAAACACCTGGCCCGGGCCCTCAGGAGCCAGGGGCGGCCCTGGGGGTGCGCAGATGCCGGGGGGCGAACACCGATGGTTTCCCGGGAAGGATCGCGCCCCTCAGAGCCCCCCCGGTACCTGCATGGAGCGGACGGTGAGCAGCAGGTGCAGCCGGCCCTCCCGCACCGTCAGCGGCAGCAGCACGGCCGCTCTGGGCAGCGGCAAGCGGGAGAACTTGTCCCCGACATCGAACTCCCTCAGGCGGCGCCGGGCCTCCTCCATGAGCCCCTGCTTAGCAGTGGGCAGAGCGGAGCACCGGCAGCGTCCGGCCGTGCCCCGCTCTCCCGCCGCGGCCCCCGGCCAGGGGCAG